AAAATTTCAGAAAAAAATTAAATTCTTTAAGCGATCATCACCAAAGCTGATATTCTTTCTGCTTAGTTTATTTATTTTATTCTTTCTTCCTTGAAGAGACACCAACTAGACTTAGAATATCAATCTTGGTAGATAGGTGAAGCCTCATTCTGATTTCACATGCAAAAAAAGCAAGGCTCAGAGTGACTTAAACCAGGTCCTGTGGTTTAAGTGACTGACCAGTGGCCTTAAAAGCAAGGCCAGTGGTCAGTAGCACCAGCTTCTGTTCTTTCTTAACTTCTGAGGCACTTCTACTGGGTCTGCACTAGCTTACAAAAAGATACCAATAAAATTCCTGTATTCTTAACATCTTCCTCAAACAGAAGTTTTTAAAGTGCTTGTTCTGTCTCTTGGTCTCCCCCTAAGGACAGGGCTGCCTTCTCCTGAAGCCCTTTGAAGTGTTGTTTTTTTCCCCCCTATCTACACCTTATCAGGACTGAAGGTGGGAGAGGTGACCTTCTTGTTCCTTGGTGTTCTTCTCAGATCAGTCTTCATCTTCCTTAAGAGCCCTTAGATTTGATTATCAAGCCATATGGTCATACCTCCTGCCACTTACATTTGTTAGTCAACACTCACATCATTTCCTTGAATTCCTTGAAGATTTTGGCTCCTTGGTCACAGGCATTCTGATAATAGTCTGTCATAATTCTTAGTAATTTCAATATTAATACAGATTATTCTAATACCTTGGTCTCTCAGTTCACTGAATTCTGTACTTCCAGTCATGTTGCCCCCCCACACACATCTACACAGACATAATTATTCTGAAGATCGAGTTGGTATCAGTGTCTGTACCCTCTTTATAATACCAATTTCATGCACCCCAGTTTCTGTTATCTTTCCAGCTCACTTCCTTTAGTAACACAACTTCGATAATTTGAAAATCCATGTAAGACCTTAAAATCAATTGATTTACCAATTTTTCATTTTCCTCCACCCTCTTCTCAATCAACTTATACTCCCTGTTTCACAAATGTAATCATTACATTGCAGTTACTCCCTTCAACTTACCTGTTTTTCTTTTCACATATTGTACAAGGTTGGGAAAACCTTAGCTCTACTTAAATGCAAATCTCTATGCACTCATGAACCTAAGTAAAGTGAGTCTGGAGCAAACCCTTTGATTCTCAGTCTGGTGCTCAATCCACTGAGCCACACCTGCCAGGACACAAATCCTATTTACTTTTTATTCCAAAAGTATTTTAGAATCTGACCCACTTTTTACTATCTCAGTTGCTTACCACTCTTGTCCTAATTACCACCCTCTCTTTCTTAGATTATAGGTCCCTCAGTGTCTTCTCTGCTTTACATTTGTCCCTCTGTAGTTTATTCTCAATAAAGAGCTCAGAACCTTTTAAAATGTGAGTCAGATTATAACTTTTGTTTTTTTGTCACGACCCTCCAGTAACTTCCCATCTCTCTTAGAGTGGCCTGCACACTCCACATGATCTGGCCCTGGCTTTTCAGTCCCTTTCCCACTGTTTTCCTCTCTTTTGAACTCATTTCAGCACTGTGGCCTCCTGGCTTTTCCTTGAATCTGCTAAAAATAATCTTTCTTTAGGGCCTTTGCAGTTCCCTCTGCTTGGAGGGCTTTCCCCCAGGTCTTCTTGCTCCTTAGCCTTTCTAAGGTTTTTCACCTGCCTATTTAAAAGAGTACTGCCTCTCAGGTACCCTTTATTTTTCTTCATAAGATCTGTCAGCATTTGCCATACTATGTATTTTACTTGTTGGTCTTTTTTTCTTCATTATGACATAAGCTCATTGTTATGTATGCAGCATCCAGGTCAGTGCCTGATGCTCAAATATTTGTTGAATGAATGAATAGATGATCAGTAAAGTGGTTATCTGTTGACATTGTTAAGTGCATGGTTAAACAGGATGTATGGATTGGCCACAAAGTTTGTCTGTTTTTTTCCAGAAGATGTCTCTAGTAGCACGTAGTTGTCTTTAACTTGATTTGAAACAATGTTGTTAGAATGTGTTGTGACAGCTGTCCTATCAGCATACTTTTTTAAAAAAGTTAACAAAATTGATGAAGTTTTGTGCAGCCATTTTAATATTGAAGATGGAAGAAAATATGCCACATTTTCCGATATTATGCTTTATTATTTCAAAAAAGGCAAGAACACAAGTGAAATGCATATAAAGATTTGTGCAGTGTATGGAGACGGTGCTGTGGCTGATAAAATGTGTCAAAAGTGGTTTGTGAAATTCTGTGCTGGAGATTTCTCATTGGATGATGCTCAGATTACCCAAATCAATAAAGTGATTGAAAAATGTGTCATTTATTTTACAGAAAAAACCATATGTACTTTCCAGTCAACCCAATAGTATGGTTGAGGTAAATGAAATGGCAAATGTACAATATCAGTGTCTTTGTCCTTCAATTGCTTAGACATTGGAAGGATATACCCCACATGTTAACAATAGTTGTCTTTAGTTGATAGCATTTTAAATTTCATTTTCATGGCTGTTTGTCTGAATATTTGGAAAATGAGCAATTATTATTACTATTATTATTATTAGGAAATTATAATTCTACTTTGTAAAATAAAATATAACACCTAGGCCCTGGCTGGTATGGCTGAGTTGACCGGAGCGTAATCCTACAACTGAAAGGTCACGGGTTCCATTCCTGGTCCATACCTAAGGTGTGGGTTTGATCCCTGGTCAGGGTACGAACTATCTCCGGTCTGAGTGCTGTAGGAGGTGACCAGTCGATGCTTCTCTCTCACACCGATGCTTTTCTCTCTTCCTTCCTCTCTGTATAAGCCATGAGAAAATGTCCTTGGGCAAGGAATATAAAATTATATATGTGTGTGTGTATATATATATATATATATATATATAGATAGATAGATAGATAGATAGATATAGATATAGATATAGATATAGATATATATTTTTTCCCAGCGATGTCACATAGAAGAATGATGTGGTTCACTGAAGGATATCAAGGAAGTCCTAACAGTGAGAATGTTATCACATGTAAGATAGGTAGGTACCGGATGGCCATTTTAAGAATGCTCAAAAAAATAAAAATGGAAGAAAAGAAAGATTTTACTGGTGTCTCACTCTAACTATACTGTATCTTCAGAATTTATATTTCTGGATTATTTAGAATGAAATACTCTAGTAACTGAGCCCTCTTAAATGTTGCCCACTAAATTCTAACACAACAGGAAAAAACTTTGAAGTTCTGTGAGGACCTTTTCATTTCTGCTTTCATGTTTGTCAGAATCTCAGTTATTTAAAATAATTTTTGTATCTTTAATTGTCATTGATGTTTATATTCGTGATGATTTTTTGAGGACCTGGATTGTATCTTTTTCATCTTTGGGTTCTTTGTATCTAGCACAGTACTTGGTATGTAATAGGTACTCAATACGTGTTTGTCCAGTAAATGCTTTGACCCCCAAATTGATCAGTGACATACTAGTCTTTTATTACTAGTTTTATTAGGAAAAAACCTTTTGCTTGGACAGTAAATCCCCCAGTGTTATAGATAAACTTAGGTGGTAGTTCAGGAGTTGTGGGGTTGGCAGAGGGGGAGAAGAAAAAAAGAGAAAGAAAAAAATTGAACAATGATACACTGTTCCATTTGAAAAAGACAGATACACATACTAAATGACAGACTTCATTAAAAAAAATTGGACAGTGATTTCATTGGGGACTTTTCCTAGTGACAAGACTTGTTCTTATTCTTGTTAAATTAGGAAAGATTTTAGCTTTAATATTATGATAACCTAGATGTATGTATGTCAGTGCTAATAACTTAGTATGTTAGCCTTCTACTTATTGATGCCTATGGTATCTGGACGTTTTTTGGCCTGTTCTTGTAAATAAGGTGTCAGTGATGTTTAAGAAACGGCAACTTGTGGCCAGAAAAGAAAAAAAGCTCCATATTATTCAAGCTAAGCAATAAAAATGGGACTCTGAAATCCCTTCACTAAGTAAAAAATCTCCTAGAGAAAGATCTCTTGAGCTTACAAGCTAAAGACCTTCAATATAATTTTAAATAAAACCTTTTATGTAAAACGAGAGCACTTTTTAGTTGATAATCAATTGACACTATTATGTAGGCTTACTAGATTTGCAAATTTACAAGTTTTTACAAGTCAGTTGGGTCCCTTCCTCAGGAAATCAGTTGAACTTTTTTCCCCCTATATTGACTCAAAGAGCCTAGTTGTCCTTAAATCCTGTGAATATATTTGCCTTATAATTTGACGGCATTGAGTCAACACCCTTATAGGGTTTCTAGTGTTATAAAAAGAGAAACTGTTCAATAAAAGATCACATTTGAAAAAATAGACTGTGCTGGATAAAACCGGTATTGGATATGAATACTGTGCTTTACTTTAAAGCACCTACAGGTATTCAAGGAAGTAAATGCTTGCCCCTTACTTTCCACATGCATCCTTAGGTTTGGAAAGCAGCTGAGCTGTGTCTTTGTGAAATGAAACCATGCCTTTAAATAAATTAAATAAACTATGAAATGTGGATACATTTTAGCAGAAAATTACATATTTGTGTGAACATCATTTTTTATAAAAATGGCAGAACTAATCATTATTACAGTAATCAAACTGTTTCAATCAAATATGTTTGGGTAAGTGTATCTTTCTATTCATCACTATGTTTAAACTTATTATACTAAGTATATATATATTGTGAGTATCATCAGTGTGCCTGAGGCTACACAGATAAGAATGATAACTTTCATTTCTTGAGCACTTGTGCACTATACATAGATTAATTCTCTAACACTAGGTATATCTGTTAGTCTTGGTTTTTAAATTTAGGTACTGAGGCATAAAGAAATTAAGGAAATTGCCCACATTATGCAGCTGGTATCTAAGCTGGGATATAATATTAGAAAATAAATCAAATTTGAACATGTTAAAGTATATTGATCGACTCTAATATGAAATTTTTCTTCCTGTTTTTGTTCACCTTTCTAGTTGATTTGGAGCATATGCGAACAGTAAAACTTGAAAAACACTTACGGTTCTGCCAGGAAAATGGTTTTAGTAGCCACTTTGTCTCAGCAAAGACTGGAGACTCTGTAAGTAAGATAATGAATTTTGAATGTTGTAAGTGAGGTTTATTTACCTTAACTTACTAATATTCATGGGAAGGATACTTCCATTATTTAACTTTTGCAACAAGTGAATGCTTACTGAAGACATAAAATAGATTATATGAGATATGGTTATTCTCTTTATGTTTTATAATTCATTTAACATAGTTTTATGGTTCTCTTAGAGTATTTAAAAATATAAGAGTTTGAAAAGAATATATGTCACCCATGATCTTATTTAGCATTCAGAGATGGCCATTCTAACCTCTTGTGATTCCTTCTAGTCTTCTTTTTCTGATCCTCACCAATATCAGTACTGCTGCCAGCAGATTGCATTTACTGAGAGCTTACTTTGTGACAGGCACCATCCTACTCTGATCATCTTTGCTTTATAGATGAGTCTTAGTGAGATTATGTAATGAGGGTCTAGGTTACACAGCTAATGGATTCATAGGGCTCACTGTGTTAACCACACTAAATATTTATTCTAAAGAATTAAGGTCACAATATAGAAATAATTTTGTTTTACTTCCTTCTTTAATATACACATCTGAAGAAAATTTTGCTGTCATTTAATATTACTAAATGGATTTAATAATTCATTAAATAACTATTAAAAAATCTATTCAACCAAGTTCCTATTGTTAGACATATAGGTTGTTTTCAAGTTTTGACATAATAATTTATTGTAAAACTTTGTCTCTAAGCTTTGAAGTTTTGATTATTTCCTTTTTAAAAAAATTTAAAAATTAATTAAAGTGGACACTCAGTGTTCTATTAGACATTTGTATAATGTACAAAGTGATCCCCCTGATCATTTCCTTTAGGTGGATTCCTTGAAAAGGAATTGAAACATATTACAAATTACCACTCACATATTGTGTGAGTGCTATACCACTGCACTCTCAACATTCAGGATTTATTTATTTTTAAGTATTTCTCAATTTGGTAGGCAAAAGGGTATTTTGCTATTTAAATTTTAAATTAACTTTGATTGCTGTTGAGGTTGAATATTGAAATTTTTTATTACCTATTTTCTGCCTATTATCTGTTTGTAACCTGCTTTAAAAAAAAAAGATTTTACTTACTTTTAGAGGGAAGGGAAAGGAGAAAGGGAGGGAGAAAGAGAGGGAGAAAAACATCTATCAGTTGCTTCTCATATGCCCCCAGCTGGGGACCTGACCCACAACCCAGGCATGTACCCTGACTGGGAATCAGCTCAGCGACCTTTCTGTTTACAGGCCAGCGCTCAGTCCACTGAGCCACACCAGCCAGGGCTGTAATATGCCTTTAAAATTGTTGTGACCATTTTTATATCAGGAATAACAATCATTTGTCATAATTTGTGCAAATATTCTTCACTGTTCATTAATTTTCTTGACATAGTTCAACCAAAAGAAGTTTGAATTTTTCTGTGGTTTAATCCTGATATTTTTTCTTTATGATTTCCTTCATGGTTTTCATGCTCAAGATACGTATTAAATAAAATAAAGGGTGTTTAATCTTTTTTTGGATCTGACACTTAAAAAATTGACCTCTTAGAACCCTTTCCCCCAGGATTTTACAAACATTCACATATACGCACACATACCATTAGAAAAGTGTATAGTATTGGTACTCCTTGATAAGTCTATCCGTGTACCAGGCTTCTACACTCACGAACCTAGGGGTCTGTAGCCATTTTAGAATTATTTTAACTTCCAGTATTTTAGGTTGTGTTTAACCACTAAGTTTTTTGTGTACTTATATTGAACCACCATTAAAAATTCTCATTTTTTTAATGCAACTTTGAAATGGTTTGGTGGAATCACTTTAAGAATTATAAGTCATTTCCAACTCCAGGTTACTTCTCCTGGCTTATACTTTTCTCTAATATTACCTTAGTCATAATACTGAGTGATGTCAATTCTTTGCCCGTCACCCACCTCAGCCACTCAGTCCCATGCATTGTCATTGCAAATCACTGCAGTCCTGTCGTCGCGTATCTTCATATCGGGCATCCTAGTCACCGATTGCATCCTGTCTTTTCAGCTCACACCTTTGAGTTCCCTAACTCAATCAGTCTGCAACCTCAGCAGGACTTCCAAGACACTGATCCTAACACCCTTTCAGTGTCCCTGACCTCCGTTTATGTCTTAATTTTTCACTCTTTCTAATTTAAATATGACCAGTGAGAATTGTTGCCGTGCCTATACCCTCCGTTCCCATTCCCCTTTTGCACTTTATCAGACTCACTTGGCCTTAGCTCTGGTTTAAATCAACCCCCTACTTTTTTATGGCTACACTCATGTCTTTGAACATGGTCAGGGAGCAACACAGAGGCGTGCTGGCGTTTTTACTGAAAATTCACCATCACTTACTGGGCCTTTAATGCTGCTTAGTAATTATCCTCCATGATCATAGCCCACTATCTCTCCTTCAACTAATGACTGTCCATAGCTTCTCTCCTCTCTTCAATCTTCAAAACTTCAAAACTTCCTTGTCCTTCTCTCAGCTGATGACTGTGCTTCTTATTTATAATAAATTTGAAACAGAAGACAACTCTCATGTACTCTTGCCACCACCTTTACCTCACTCTCCCTCCTACCCTGTATCTGCTCCCAGGTATTTTCTTCTCTGCTGTTACTGCAGGATGAACTGCTCATGCTCCTAGCTAAGGCCAACTTTTTGCATAGTAATGAACATTGTTTTGCAATTTTCTCCCCATCCTGCTTTTTCTCTTTACTGGATTATTCTGTCAACATCAAATAGTATGACTTCTCTTGTCTTAAAAACAAGAAAACTCTTGATTCCACATCTTCTCTATCACCTTCTTTCCCCTACTTTCCAGTAGACTGTTTTGAAAGAGTTGTCTCTAGTTCTCTCCTCCAAGCTTCTCGAACAGTTCTAGTCAGTCTTTTGTCCCGAATATTTTACCCAAATTGCTGTTACCAAGGTCACCAATGACCACTTTTTTGCTAAATTCGCTGGCCAGTTCTTAGTTCTCATCTTACTTGACTTAGTTGCAGCGTGTAAAATAGTTGATTACTCTTCTGTTTAAAATAGTTTCTTCACTTAGCTTCCAGGATACTGTACCTCCTGCTTTTCTTCCTTGCTAAGTATTCTTTTTTAGTCCATTCTACTGATTTCTTATCTCTCCAGCTCCTAAATATTGGCGTGCCCTTGGGCCCAGTCTTTTCTTTTTCTAATTAATTTCCTTGGTGTCCTTGTCTAGTCTCGTTGCTTTGACCATACTCAGTATTCAACTGCCTGCCTGACACCTCCACCTACATGTCCAATAGGCCATCCCAGTTAATTGAGGTCCAGAATTGAGCTCTTGCTATTTCCTCCTCAGATCTTTCACAGACTTTCCACTTCAATAAATGGCAGTTCTTTTACCAATTGCTAAGGCCAGTGTTATACTGGAGTCATCCTTGACTCCTCTGTTTTTTGACACCCCACATCTGTGTCTGTCACCAAGTCTGTTGGCTCTGTTTTCAAAATATGTCTACAACATGGTGATTGCTTTTTACCATCTGCACTGCTATGACTTTGTTTTAAGCCTTCATCATCTCTTATTTTGTGTCTTTGCTGTGTCTTTTTTTCTTCTTTTTATCCTCACCTGAGGACATGCTTACTGATTTTAGAGAGAGGGGAGGAGAGGGAGAGCCAGGGAGAGAGAGACATCAGTGCTGGAGAAGAACATGGATGGCCCTTACCACAGGACCAAACCCTCACCCTAGCCATGTGCCCTGACCAGGGATAAACCCTGACCAGGTCATGAACCCATGACCCTCCAGTTTATGGGATGATGCTCCAATGAACCACAGTGGCCAGGGCTGGTTTCCTCTTTTGTACCCTGACCTTCTCTGGTGAATACACAGTCCAGCAGCCAGATCGAACCTGTTAAAATAGAAGTCACATCAAGCCACCCTCCATGGCTTCTATTTCACTCAGTAAAAACCGAAGTCCACCAGATCTTACATAATTTATACTCCCGTTATAAATCATTTTCTTAAATCATTGCTCATTTTCTTTTACAGTCCCCCTCTTTCTCTATTATACCACACTAACTTTCCTGGTTTTCCCTAAACATTGCTCAGCAGTGATCCATAATGTACAGGGCATTTTGAGGGGCAAATGCCATAAGCCTTTCAGAGTAAGTATCTCTTTTTGATTAGAAATCAAAATTAAATAAATAAAATTATGATAAATATTCAGTAAGTAATCTTGAGATAAGTAGGGATAAGAACATGATAGTGTACTTCTGAGGCAAAGACAAGTTACCCATTACAGGTGATCTCTGACTTGCAGCTCCAGGAATCAGAGTGGGCCCAGCATAAGCTAACATGTATGGAAAGGCTGTTTGTAGAAAAGTGTTTGGAAGAGTTTTGTTTACAAATAATGGAGTAAAATATGTCTTTATTCTGAACTGATAAAATACAGTAAGGATTTCTAAGTTGTTTTGCTCAAGAGATGTGGAGAACTAATTGACTTGGTGAGAGCCACAAAGATTGTTAAAGGGATAGTTAAGGGATAGGTTAAAGCCAGATCAAAAGACTAGTATAGAGTTGGCAGTGAGAAACCCAGGTAGTAAAGTACAGGCTAATGTATTCTCATTTTCTGCAGCACCTACAGCCGTTAGTTTTGCTAATTTTTTTAAAATGTGGGAGTTGTAATTAATTGTCTTATGTTAAATCCTTAAAAATGTAAGTGTTTAAAAATGTATATGTTTAAACCAGTTCACTGAATTTCATGAATTTTCAAATTACGGGTTTAATCATTTAAAAAATTATTACACTGAAAGTCTTGCTGTATTTGATACATAAAGCTATTTTTGGAATAACCTGGCATATCATATTTTTGCAATTCTTGCTGTTTATCATTGTTTGGAAACTTCAATTTATTTGAAGGTAACTTAAGCATGCCTGTTTTAAATCATTTAAACCTATTTTTGGTATGTAGGTCTTCCTGTGTTTTCAGAAAGTTGCTGCTGAAATCCTTGGAATCAAGTTAAACAAAGCAGAAATAGAACAGTCACAGGTGAGTATATTGAACTTTATATTTTAAAGAATAATTTATTTCTTAAAAGATACTAATTTTTACCCCTGAATTCTTGCACATTTATGTATTCTATGTACATATCCTTAAAAATCCTAGAAATAGATTGTGTGTATGAATGGTCAATGTTTGTTGCAGAAGACAGAGGATGCTAAGTTTTTGCCAAATTATGATGCCCTTGAAACTTCAGTTTGTCCTTTTTGTTGGAAAAATGAGATTACTATAATATAAATTTCATCAGTGGTTAAATAATGGCTTAAGGTGCTGACCATATTGTTGTTTTGTACTTAAGTTCTTCCAGGATTACTGTACAGTATTTTTAAAATATTTCATATAAAATTCCAACTATTTTTTAAAGTAAGTCTTAATTAAAATTTTCTCCACTTGGTATCTTCCATGTTTGCTTTGGTAAAACAATATTTTTTCAAGTTTTTAAAACTCTATATTCTTAAACATCCTTTAATGATATTAATTATTGATGTTATTTTATTGTTAGTTTAATAATATTGATTGAGGATTTCTGAATTCTTTTACTAGTCCTAGTTAATTTTCTAAGATTAAGAAATAAACATGAATACCAACAGTCAAGCATTTAAAAATACCATTATAATAGTACACCAATTTACATGTTGGTAGGATGAAAAATCAGCAAGCACCTGTAGTTTGAAGTTAAGCTTCAGAAATGGTTTGCTTAGAAGCAAAAATAAATTAAATTTTTCCAGAATCCCTTTCACTCCATTTCCACCCCATTTTCTGCTTCCTTAAATTTTTCTTTAATACTTTTTCACATAGTTCAGAGTTTTATTTTTATGGTCATTGTGTGTGTATATGTGTTTTAAAACAGAGCAATTATTTATTAAAATTGTTATGCTGGGGGGAAATAGAACAACTGTAATGGCATAATTAATAAAATATATTAAAAAATTGTTATGCTGATGTGGCTATTTTTAGGACTTGATTAAAATCCTTGGATCTCTGGAAATCTGCTACTTTCATTTTTCATTATTCAAAAGACATTTATTTTAGCACTTAACCAGGAACAGTGTGAAGATATATTGTGCCATGTAAATTGCTCGCAGACACATAAAAACACTTTCTTGCTTTTGGCCCAGGAGGTGGGATACGAGAAAGAGAAACCACGTGGTTTGCTTGATTACATTGAACTTGGTGGACCAAGTGCATCCTTAGCTTTCTAGTTTTATTTCTAAATGGTGTTTGAAAAAGGATGTCTGGTTAATTAGAGAGTCTATGAATGATGATGAAATCATTGTAAATGATGTATTGATCATACATCATGTTAAGTGGTAGAGTGGTGGATCTGACAGTGATCAGAGGAGTTGAAGACGTAGTCCTTGCCTTCAGTGAAGAGAATTAGTATGTCACTGTTATGTGCCAGGCCCCCATAAGCACTCTGCAGAGCAGGTGGCATTTCATTTTACTTTATGGGCAGGTTAAGTTGCTTTGGACCCACTCACCTGTGACGAGGCAGTGGTGGCCCAGGGCCTGACAGCAGTGTCCCAGACTTCTCCACTCCACCATATGGAGGGGGGGGGGCTTACTGGGCAGTTTGTGGGGCAGGGGTTATGAACATGACTGGGTGAGAAGCTGGCATGAACAAGTTGAAAACCTCACATTGTAGTTTGGAAAAAAGAGCAGTTTGCTGAAAATAAATGACTGTTTGTGTTGGAGTGTAAAAGGAATTTGAGAAAAGATTATGGAGATTTATGAATGCCAAAGTGATAAATTTTGTCTAACATATTGACAGTGGGAAATAATTTTTGAAGCAGAGGAATGAATGAAAGCAGTTTTTTGGTAGGATTAATCTAATGGGATATTTTCTTGTGGTTGAGTGGAAAGAGATTGAAGCGAGGAAAGTAGGTTACTGCCCTCAATGTGATAAGCAGCAGAATCAGTGGAAGGGAAGGAATGCATATGAGAGACATTTCTACGAAGAATCAGTAGGTCCCGTGGAAAGACTGGATGAAAGAGAGGAGAAGTCGAGACACTGGCGTTTCTCCCCTACAGGAGTGGAGAAAGGGGAGACCCAGTGTTGGGCGGGCCTGCAAGAGAGAGTGCTGCGCCTGGGCTCCGTGGCAGGGCCCAGCTGCGGTGAAAACTCCAGAGAGATGAAATACATTGGGTACTTTTGACAGGCCAAACTTTATGGACACCAGAAGCTTTATCAATATTCACAGTTCACTGGTAGTCAGACTTAACATCTAGGCATACTTCAACCAAAGAGGCGTCTGCGGTCTGACCTCCCTGTACCTCTGCCTTGCTTGTTAGAGCACCTCATCTTGTTTCTTATGCAGTGAGGTTTCAGTCAGTCTTCAGTTTGTTGATGGCATTTACTGGGTTGGCCAAAAAGTATATTACACTTTTTCTGTAAAATAAATACTTTTTTTTTCAATTTCACCAATAACTTTATTGATTTGGATATTTTGGTTTTCTCCTGCTATTGATTGCTAGTGGACAGAGGCCAGGGGTGCTGCTAAACATCTTCCAATGTATAAGAGAGCCCCACAACAAAGAATTATTTGGCCAAAATGTCAATAAACTGCTTCAGAAACCACTTTTGACACATTCTACCAGCCACAGGATCTTCTCCACATACTGCACAAATCTGTCTTTGCATTTCAGTTACATTTTTACCTTTCTTGAAGTAATAAAGCATAATACTCTGAAAAATGTTACATACATATCTTTTTCCACCTTCAATATTAAAATGGCTGCACATGCACCAAGTTTAATAAGTTCTTTTTAATGCATGCTTATATGACAGCTGTCACCATACAGTCTGACAAAATTGTTTGGAATAAAGTCGAAGACAACTAAGAACCACTAGAGCCATTGTATGGAAAAAAGTGTAACAGATTTTTTGGCCAACCCAGTACTTTGAGTCCATTTATTTGAAGATGAACTCAAGATACTAGAACCTTTCTCAATTTGTCAGAATCCTTTATGTGGAGAAGCCTCAATTTCCTTTACTGAACCTGATGGATTTGCTACCTTTACCAATTAAATTATTGATTTCACAATTAACATTTCCCAGTGGAATCATTTTCGAAAGTTCATTTCTTAAAAAGATGTTTCTAAAATACACTTGGCAAATCACATTAAACACAGTGTTGTTCTTTAAAAATTGAAATGTATTTGACGTATAATGTGTAAATTTAAGATGTATAGCATGTTAATTTGATTCATTTATGTATTGTAATGTAAATTCTGTTGTAGTGATAATAAGTACCTCTGTAACATTACATAATGAATTTTTTTAGTAGTTGTAATAATTAAATTTTAGGTTCTTAGCAGGTTTGATTATTCACTGTACTGTACATTATATCCCTGGGACTTATTTACTACTGATTGTAAGTTTTCATGCTTAAATGATATTTAAGGGTGAAATATCCCTCACCTATCATCTTCTGGTAAACACCATTTTATTCTCTGATTTTTAAAAGTTTGGCTTTTCAAAATTCTACCTATAAGTGATATTATACAGCACTTGTCTTTCTCTGTGTGACTTAACGTCACTTAAAGTAATGTGCTCCAGGTCCATCCATGTTGTAGCAAATGGCAGAATGTCCTCCTTTCTCATGGCCAAATAATAATTCCGTTGTATGTACGTCTGCATCTTTGTAGACCACATTTTATTTGTCCATTCTTCTATTGTTGGACACTTGGGTTGTTTCCATATCTTGGCTGTTGTAAATAACACTGTTATAAATACAATGGTGCATATATCCTTTTGAATTAGTATTTTCATTTTCTTTGGATACCCAGAATTAGAACTGTTGGATCATGTGGTAGTTCTATATTTAATTTTTAGAGGAATCTCCACAGTGTTTTTTATAGTGGCTGTACCATTTTACATTCCCACCAACAGTGCAAAAGGGTTTCCTTTTCTTAACATCTTCACCAGGATATCTCTTTTGTTCTTGATGGTAGACATTCTAACAAGTATGAGGTGGTAGCTCATTTTGGTGTTAATTTGTATTTCCCTGTCGATTAGCGATGTTGAGCATCATTTTCATGTACTTCTTGGCCATTTGGATGTCAAGGACTAGGGGAAAAAAAATAAGTTCAGATTTTATGTTTTTTTGTTTACATATGCAATGTACGTATAAAATATAAACTACAGAGAGAGACAGAGAGAGAGGAAGGGAGGGGAGGAATTAAAAAGGAAGGGAGGGAGAGAGGGAGGCAGAGTGGAAGGGGAGAAAGAGAGCAAGCTTGTGCCCAGTTTTTGTGGGTTTTATGCCTTTTAAAATGTTCCTGAGGGAATGTGGTGTAATGTTTAAAAGTGTTTTTATTTATTTTATAGAAAAGGAGGAAAATGTAGACACTCACCAGTCATTTGGAAATGGATGCTACAGTAATTTTGTTGATGACAAATAGTTGTAATAAGGCCTTTTAGTCTTAGTTCCATCCATTGATTATTTAAAGAGGTTACTTTAGTTCTAACCTAGATCATTCCTGTGTAGGGGTCATATAAAGTGAGCTGTCAGCCTATCCTGTAAGGAAGAGGAAGGGGAAGAGGGAGAAATAAAAGGGAATGAAGTTTATGAATACAGCAAATGTTTTGTTGAGGGTCTACTTTGTGCCAAGGACCACACTAGAATCTGAGGATACGGAGAAGAGTAAGTTGAAGTCCTTGTCCTCAAGGAACTTCCAGCATAAGTGGGGCCAGACAGATATTTAAACAATAAGTGTATCCTCATTTCATGTCTTACAATTCCCAATTTAGTTAATAGTTTTATTTTCATTGTTTATCTGTGCTTTCTTTTCTCTGTCCCAACCATTTTTCTCTGAGACAGTGTAAAAGTTAGGAATAGGTAATAAATGCTTAGTTTCCAAGATTGTTCAGATTTTTCTGTTTATGAAGTAGTTCAATCTTGAGGGCAGCAGTAAATTAATAAATTTACTACTGCTGTTGTCTTGGAGGTTCAGCATTCAGCTCTTTAACAGTGCATTAGGTGGTGTAAAAAGAAAGTGCGTAGTCTTGTTGTCTGATCTTGTTCTCGCTTCTCCGTCCAGGTAGGGTGGAAGTGGTGTCCTGCATGAAGCCACTTTCCTCTCAGGGACCCTGCATGGTATCACTCCAGGGACTCATAGCAGAGGGTCACGGAGTGTACTTCATGGCTGCAGAAATAAAAGCTGGTATTTTATAGGTAACATTTTCTGTGAAAACATCAGTGAGTGACTTTTAAACAGGCCGTCTGCTATGAAATCACCTGTCATGAAGTTTATGGCATGGAAATTCCGCTTCGTTCCTCACGGCAAAGCCTTGCTTCTGGCTTCCAGTCCAGAAACTTTGTACAAAGCTTTATGTCAAACAACCAGTGCCCGCAAGAAAGATGTTGCCTTTTTAGTTCTTTGTGAATTGATGAAAATTAATGGTGAATACCCAAGCCATTTGTGTTAGTCAGTACTTTGACCAAGTGTCTTGATCAGAGAGTGGTCAGTAAGTTGGTTGTGTTTACAGCATGGGGTTTAAACCGACATTCTGGAGGGTTAATGCATTGCTTACTGATTATGAAAACCCCTTTTCTTTATGGTGACCCACAGTCTGTCATGCAGCAGTTAGGTTCGGGCAGGGCAGATAGTGGTGTTCAACTTTTCACTGGCATGCCCGTCCCCCAGTACCTTATGTTGCAGTCGGTAATGCTTCTCTTGATGGCATCAGGCTGAGTGCCTAGGAAGTCACGAGTCTTGTCCGAAAGTCAGTGCCGCTGGCTGGAGAACCGCAGCAGAGCCCACTCAGAGCTGATACACTGTAGCGGCCTGCTCGCTCACTCTGCGGTCTTCATAGATGTTCTCATGACCAACAGCCTTCTTAATGTGTTTTTCTACGTGTGTTGATTAGTAGGTGCTGTTCTGAAGCAAGAGTTTTCTGAAGATTTGAAATTGAAAAAAAGGAGGGATAGTTTCAAGTTGAAATCTTTGGAGAGTGTGTTATCTCTGTCATGCTTACTTGTCATGTGCAGTCTTTCTGCTCTGAGGATTATAGCAAATAAAAGCCTAACAAAGCATTGATTCTTTATTTAGCAAAACTCTTAGGTATTTGAAAAAAACAGCTGTTGTGCTTAAATACTGTACTGTATGTCAGAATTTTTTTTAATGATAGAAAAAGACATTTTGAACTTGTTTATTTTTATGTGGAATTTGGAACGTGGCTGCTAGGGTTGTGAGGAAGGGGGCAGTGGGCAGCATCAGGAGATCGTTGACAAGTAATAAGTATTATTAAATATGCGACAGTTGTAAATGCCACGTGGTTTCCTCCGATACATGTGTCCTCTCCCCTCCACAGAAAATTAGTCACTTCATCCTCTGCGTTACCAAACATACCGTAAGTCCGTTAGTAAAGCACTTAGCTGCGCACCAACTCCTCTTCCCATCAGGGCCACGGCAGCTCGTGAGCTGATCCCGTGTGACCTACCTGATCCCGAGTGACCTACCTGCACGGCCCTGGGGTAGAGGGACTGGCACGTGGTAGATTCTCAGTGATGTTTATTGAGGGAAATGGAGTTAATACTTTTGCTGCACTTTAGCATAGAAAAGCAGCATAATTCTTGGTTTTTCTCTGAAATACTGTGAATTGTATATATTATTTGTAATTGTGATATCAAAACTAGAACTTACAACTTGTAGGAAATTCCGTAAACATGTCTATTTTTAACAATTAAATAGAATTATAAAGAATGATGTTTCTTGGATCTTTATTTTCTTTCTTTTTATATGTCTACATCTGCTGTTTTCTTTTGTGACAAGGTTAAATTTATGTGTATATTTCTTTTTCTACATTGGTGTTCTCTTCTGTTTTCAATCATTGAACCTACTTTCTGTTTTTCTTCTTCATTTCATTTACGTTGTATGGAATTGACAGCGTATTGTCAGGGCAGAAATAGTGAAGTACCGGGAAGAAGACCATCAGCATACCAACTCTGCTCAGAGTAGACTCTGTTCAGTACAGTAGTACAGGTATTAACGGATACATTGTTGCAATTGTGGGGCGGGGGAGGGTGGTGAGAACTAGTGAATGCTATCTTGTTCTTTTTCCCTTATGAATAGAGTTCAAATGATTATTGTACATTATTGGAATTAATATTGCATAGGTCCTGTTTTAGAACTTTGAAAAATTGATCCTTTGCCAGGAGACTTACGAATTAAACAAGAAATTGGGAACAAATTAAAATAACATTTCAGTTACTTTCACACGTATTTGTCTTTATGGTTGTGTTTATTACATGTGCAGTGAAGTGGAGAAGTGAGGCAGTTATTTCATTATTCATTCCATACCATTTTTCCTGAAATAGCCTGGTAATTGAAAGAGTATTTTTAAAATTTGCCTTGAATTACCCTTCTTTGTATGCTTGTCTGTGCAGACTAAGTAAAAGCATTGAAAACAGTAAAGTATTTGTTTTAATTTAAATTATTAGAGAGGAATATTAGGTCATATTGCTAAATTTATCATTTAAGATAATACTTGAGTGTGGGCTAGGGGGAAGGAAGGGTTAAAAGTATCTTTTGGTTTAAATTATTTTAAAAATGAGTATGCAGTAATTTTCTGAATTTCTCATTCTATATTTTGTTAGTCATTATTCATAACCCATTAGTGAGCTGTTTGAAAGTAAGTTGAGGATTTGGGAGGAAAGTTTAAAAATTGGCAAAGTTTTAAATATTGGGTTGCTAAAACATTTCTCCTTTGTATGTGATTCCCCTTTAACATTTACACCTCTTCTCACTAACTCACTAATTGCTGTAAACATTGTAAAAATGTTGTGGCTAGGGATAGTGGCTTATGGAAATATTAATAAATAATGAGGTTTTTTACTTTTAAATAACAAAGTCTTGTCTATCAGTTAAAATATATGAATGATTAATTTTAATTCCTTCACTTTAAGTTATAACCAGGGTTTAATGTTTCACATTAATTTGTCAGGTTTTTTATCAGACTTGTGATAACCTCAGACTTACATCACAAAGTCAGGGAAGACTCAGTGAAGAAGTTGTTATTAGATACTTAAAACCCCGCCCCTTCCCTCCCAACCCTGGCTCGGCATGTTTGTCTGGTTGGTTCTGTTGATAACCAGCCCCTACTGCATTTGTGATGTCTGTCATCAGGAGTTCACCTAAGTTCAGAAAATAAAAATATACTTTAAGGAGCTCTTTCTAAATGTTCTGATGTCCTGATAATAACTCTGTTTTCTTTTACGACAGAGGGTGGTGAAGGCAGATATTGTAAACTACAACCAGGAACCTATGTCGAGAACTGTTAACCCTCCCAGGAGCTCCATGTGTGCGGTTCAGTGAGCGCGCCGTTCTCTGGGATCGGTCCCTCCGCCTGCCCCTCGCCTGTGTGGCCAGAGGCCGCTCGGAGCCGTTTTCTCAGTGACCATCTCTGTAGCTCAGTTAGCACTTTCCTCCCGGCTCGCTTCATCATTAGGTGTTGCCTCTCGGCTGCTGGCAGCAGCTCCTTGGACTGGAAAGAACTCAGCTTCGGGACCACACACTTTGGTTCCAAAATGGAAGGCCCATTCTCTGGAATTAGGCTGCTTCATTGGAAAAGAATAATGTTGGTTCTCTTCCATGTCCTCACTTCTTTTTTACCCAGATGTCAGTTTTTTAAAACATGGAAACTATCCAAGTGTTGATCATCAGGCAGGATTTTACCAGAGCATATTTTCATTTTCTTATCGGAACTTACACATGGCAAAGTACGCTTCAGAGTACAAGCATTTAAACAAGTAATATATTTTTATCTACAAATACTAAAAAAGGCAAACCTTTTGCTATCGATAGTGAGTGAAAACATATAAAGCTGTATCTAACTGGAAGTGCTTGAAATAAAGCTGTAATAGAAATATATTTTTTTCATTTTTTTACAAAGGACCTAAATTGTTTATATTGTGTTGATAGCTCACCAAGTGGTGAGTATTTGATACTGTATTTTTATCACTTATCACGATCATTGTGTGTTGTGGATGCTCGGGTGAGAGGGCCTCACCGGGTCTGTTAGTGTCCAGCTGGCGCTCCACAGGACTCGCTCCTGCGCCCCGTGCCACCCAGCGCCCTCGGGAGGGGGTGTGACTGTTGTTGGATCATTGTGGGTCGGACTTGTACCTGATGTTCAGACGTTTTTCTTTTGCAAATAAAATTATTTAATCTACTTTTTGTGGGGAGTTTTCTTTCAGCCATCTTCCTTCTGGTGACAGAACACAAAGTGTATTTATCTGTAACACTAGGGATTGTGTGAAGTCACTTGGAGTCGCGAGGTCATTGTGTTGTATGGACTCAAGTGCAGACTCGGTGGCCTGGCATCTCAGGGGCTGCAGGGCAGCGCGCGCTCCCTCGCTCCGCTCCTGCGGCCGTCAGTGGGCGCGCTGCCCTGCGCACGGAGACTCCGCCCTGTGTGCCTCACGCTGCCCTGCCTCCCTGCCCACCTGCGCAGGTCCCTCTGCTCGGAGCTCCTCCCTCCTCTCCAAACGTTTGCCCTCCTCCAGCCAGCCTTCGGCCATCGCGAGGACTGGGCTTTGTCTTGGTCACCGTTGTGTCGTGTTTTTGTGCCAAGACACGATGCCTGGCGTGGCGGTTGCTTTGTATTTGCTGCACGGGAACAGGAAACAGCGCTGCCCTTCCAGAAAGCACCTCATCTGCGCAGCCCAGGGCTCCACACGGGCGCCTCTCGGGTGGCCGTCGCCCTTCCTGCCTGGAATCACAGTCATTTGGTCCCTGTGTTTTACAGTTTAATAGGTCACGTGCTTAAGGAAGGGCCGCTCTGGGCCTGTTCCGGTCCGTGCGTCTCGGGTTGGCCCAGGCCGGGTGCCTTTCGCAGTTGCTGCTACACGGATGTGCAGGAGTTTTGGACACCTGATTTTACAGCTGTGAGAAATTTTAGAAAACTTGTTATTTCACATCCTGTGTGAGTAGGGAAACCAAAGTTGGGAGAGAAGAAAGAACTTGCCAGAGGTCACAGAACCATACAGTCAGGCCCCATAGGAAATCTCCCATCTCCAGGGCAGGGGGACCCTGGTCAAGAGTGATTTGAAATCTAAGGAAGTTTAAAAACTGTGATTGCTGTGTTAATTAGGTGGTGAGTCCAGTCTTACTCTACTTTGATTTTTATTTGTTTCATTATATAGCAATTAAGAATCCGCTTTTTAAAAAAATCTTCGTTTGAGGATATGTTTATGGACTTTGGAGAGAGAGGAAGGGGGAGAGGTGGAGGGAAACACTGATGTCAGAAGCATCTGTTGGTCTCCCCGGCACACGCCCTGCCCAGGGATCAGATCCCACAGCCTTTGGCTCTGGGATGACACTCTAGTCCGCTGAGTTACCTGGCCAGGGCTGAACATTGTTTTTCCAAGGTTGTAAGCCCTTCAAGGCAATTTAGTTTATCCTCCTTGTCAGCATCTTCCTCACATATGCTGATGTTTTCTAGCGAAAACATACTTTCTCTGTATTCCTTAGGAGAATATAAAGTGGAATAAAAGAGATCTCCACCCTCCAGCACCTTACAGTCTAGGAGAGGTTTCTGTTTTGGCTGCTGTTGCTGCAAAGGCTGTGATTGGTTGAAGTCTGCTCAACTAAACTGCCCGACTGGACTTCACTCTCACATTCAGTAAGAAGCGAGGCCATGCTCTTCTGCTCACTTTGGGGTGTTTTTACATCTGTGTGAAAACTTGAGGATTTTCGTTTTGTTCAGTTACTGCAGTATTCAAAGGTATGACTTCATACACGTGCATGACTGTACAAGCCAAGTGCTACAGGCGTTTCACAGGAGTCACACTTCGGGTGTGTGTTGAACGTTAGAGCACTCTGTGGAGCTGATCAGGGGCAAGGCAGGAATGGCCTTCCTAGTGTTGCTCTGGCCGGGACATTTCCAGGCACTGGTCACATGGGGTCCTTTTTTCCTCATTCCAGTGTGTGACAGGGCTATTGCTGTCCTCCCTTTACACATGAGGACACTGCCAGTGAGAGTCGTTGGTAACACCAAGGCCTCCTGCAGTCTTTCTTTCGAGGGTAGGATGGGTGAGGGTGCCACCTGAGTCTGCTGCCTGCCTTTTGTGAAGATCACTCCGCTGACCTCCTTCCTGAGAACGGACTGGGCCTGGGTGTTAAGTCGTTCTTTCGGGAAGTGGTCCTGGCAAGTGCTGACCCACCCACCTTCTCTCACTACGCACCAACTAGGCCAGCCTCTAAAGAGACTGATGGTGGTAAGTTTGCCCTCTGCTCCCGAGGTGAGGGCAGAAAATTGCCTCTCCCTGACCGCCTTCGGCCTCATTGGTTTTCTATCTCTCCCAGCTAAGCTTGACCAGTCACCAGGAGCCTTTTGGCTTGAGGTCAGCAGGCACGGTGAACGCTCGATACAGCGTATGGCCAGAGCAGATTTCTGAATTCCATATTACAAGTTTCCCCATACCTTGGGTTTTATTTTTGAAACAAAAACGTAGGATTCATGCTTATTTTACTTTGTTACCTCTCCTGTCTACAGTTTTTAATTTAAAAAATTACAAGTCTCTCCATCTAGTTTTAGGCACTTTGTCTCCTGAAGACGCATGCTATAAAGTTTCAGACTCATTGTGGTCACTTCTGCTGCTTATTGAACTTTTGAAACACACAAAAGTCTTCAGCCAGAACTGGTTGTTGGATGTCGCCTTTCAAGTGCACCCTCTATTATGTGTGGCCAACCGCTGTGGAGTGGTTTCTGGAGTGGCCCAAGGAGCTCCTGTGACGGCTTTGTTATTCCAGGAGGAGGTAAGCCAGGGCCCTTTAAAGTCGATCACTGCAACAATGTGACGGAGCATAATCATTTGTGTGTCATTTAAAAATAGAAAGGTTTTCTGGCCATGACCCACGTGAGTGATGGCTGTAACGTTGGGCATCCTGAAAAACAGTTGCAAGATTCAAAGGCAAGGGAAATGCAGACCCGCTGGGCACTGTGGTTGACATCTGTCCAGCTGCCGCCCCCGCATCCAGGTCACTGCTCCCAACGCCAGCTTTCTGACTTCCCGTTGCAGTCCGCCTCTGTTTCCAGCCACTCACAGCTCTAGAAGTGGATCCTCATTGGCTTACACACATTAGGATATTTCTTCTTGGCCTCAGTGATGGCCTCAGAAATGAGTGAATAACTCCATTAAGGCTAATGAAACTGGAGGAGGGGTTTGTTGAGGGTTTGGGAAAAGAGAAGAGTTAAAAAAAAAAGCTGCTATCCCCCGAAGTCCAGAGGACTCCGACTGCTGCACTTTAATGAAAGATGAGTCCCGGGAGATGCTGGCAGCCTTCTTGAGGACACAAGGGGGTGCCTGCCCAGGCCCACAGTTGCTGCCCAGGGGGCAGAGGGAGAATCTGGTCCCTGACACGGAGCCCAGACCAGCCAGCCCACTGGAATTGCTTCATAGCATGAGTCAGGTGTTAATGGTTTCGGCTGACATTGGTCGGTTTTTTTTCTTTCTTACATAAGACCATTATGTACTAGGGCTTTGCTCAGCACCGAAGACAGAGGTGAACATGATTGGAGTTTTGTCCTCAAGATCTTAGTCTGGGCACTTGCATAACTCAGCAGAGTGTAATTAGACTGTTCATTGCTTCAGTAGAACTAATATAGGAAGATGTGACTTCACAGTGAGTGTGGGAAAAAATGGATTTCCCATGACTGGAATCAGGGTCAAGAGTTAACCCAGTTGGCTTCGAAAGCTAATGTAATCTTATGCTATGTTATTGCAAAAAGAGTCTGTCCTCTGAGTTGGTTTGTGCATGGAAACCACCTGGAGAATCTTGATTCATTGGATGCAGGGTAGGGTTTGAGGTTCTGCATTTATAACAAGTTCCCAGGGGATACTAACACTGCTGGCTTTTCGTGAAATTGGGAGAGAAGATTATTTGTCAAACGTTTTCAGAGAGCAAAACCATAGCATTCAACCTAGGCCCTAGGGACTTGCAGTCCTTAGGGACACAGTGTCTGCTCTCAGGTAGTAGAGTATCATGGCACCCTGGCTGTCATGTCAGGAGGGACTCCATCCAGGTAGGTAGTGTGCGGGGTGCTGAGAGCAGGTGGGTTCTGGCCGGACAGGGCTGAGGGAGTGGTCAGAACAGATGTGATGGGGAAGTGAGGCTCGGACTGACAGCACTGAGGGAGACAACCCTCCCTCCCAGCACCCAGCCTGGGGAGGGCGCCTTTCGGTAGAACATGGCCTTGGGGCTGAGCTCAGAACCGCCTGCATTCCATTCCGTCTGGCCCTTCACGGCATCAGTTTTCCACGCTGGAGAGCTGGGAACAAGGAAGGACAGACTATTTGTTTTAAAGTTCTGTGTCCAAGTCGTGCTGAACGTTCTCAGGCCTCCCCCACTATAGGCTGAAGTAGATGCAAGGCTGGAGGTCAGGCTGAGGGAGGCAGGCCCTGGCACTGCACAGATAGCAGCTCAGCTGGCCCCTCGTGTCCCGTGTCCGAGCCTGGTGGCTGGGCCTCCTTAATCCTTCATTCACCTGCCTCCGCAGGCTGCTCGTGGAAGGGATTCCCAGCCACAGGTCTCAGGCCCCTTCTCCTTTCCCACACTGCTGCTCAGATCGCCCCGACAGCCTGCTTCCTTCAGACCTCCACTGTCTGCTGCCCACACAGCTCTGAGAATGAACTTGACCCACGGGTTTGGACTAAGTCACTCTTGTTCCAGACTTTTCAGTGGCTCCTCATGTTCTTTCCCAGCAGAGGAAAGTGACTTCCTCCGCCTGACATTTAGAGTCCTCTCCCTGCTTTTGTGTCTTTGCTCCTGAGATACCTGTTCACTTCAAGTCCGGGGACTGCTTTGTTGCAGCCAGTGGTCCCTCACCTCTGTCTCTACTGGGATTTCCTCTAGGGAAGGAGGGGCGTCAGGAGGCAAACTGGAAAACCTGCTTCTTCTGGCTCAGACACCCACACCAGTTCATGTCCCTGGGCTGTTTCCGAGGCCTGGCTGTGGAGAGCCGTGGTGGGTGCTCCTTGTCCTCACCACGCTTACTCTGGTTGCAGTGTGAGGATACTGAGCTCTCCGTAAACATCTTCACTTTTTTGTTGTTGTTCTGTTACAGTTGTCCCAATTTTCCTTTGTTGATCTCCCCTGCCGCGCCCACCCCCTGCTCCTGCAGTTAGTCCCCACCCTGTTGTCAGTGTCCACGGGTCATTTATA